AGCTTGTTTTAAAAAAGTTATACCACTTTAAAGTTTTATTAATAGACATTGGATGTCTCTTGCTGTCCCGCACTGTATAAATTCTAAGAGGTAGTGACAAAAATTCTGTAAGGGTTGATTTTGAAAAAAAACCTGGCTTATGTCTAGTATAAAAATGGCATCTCATCATATGCTATATGGCGTCTCATAATAATAATACCAATAGTTAAAAAAAAAAAAAAAAGTTTTTTAATCTTTCATGTCTTCAAAAAAAATCAGTTTGACTAATAACCAATGCAAAAAAATTTGCTTACAAAATCAAGATGATCCAACTATGACACAAGGAGAGCTCGCAAAATGGGCAAAGGAAAAGTTTGCTTTGATAATGTTTTCAACCAAGCAACACTTTCATGGATTCTTGCAAAAAAGGATAAATATCTTAAGCTTGACGATGAAAAGGACTTTAGAATTAAATGTCATAGAACAATACTTCAACCACAGCTTGACTAAGCATTAGCAAACTGGTTTTACAATGTCAAGCAAGAAGAATTTATTTAACTGGGGAGTTAATACATAAAAATTTGCTCAACAACTTGGTCTTGACCCTCAAGATTGTAATATACCTGATTTTTTGTTGGTTGGCTGCTTTCATTTGAGCAACGTTATAGTTTTAAAATGCATAAAATATATGGAGGAAGTGGGTTTGCTGATAATGAAGCAATCAAAAGAAGTTTGCCTGAATTATGTGAAACAGTTAAAAAATATACTGTAAGTGATGTATACAATATGGACGAAACTGGTTTGTTTTATAGAATGGTACCAGATAAAACAATTGCTAAAAGAAAAATTGAAGGAAGCAAAAAAGATAAAACACGTCTTACTCTTGCTTTTATTGCCAATTCAGTTGGTTCCTATATGTTAGAACTTTTTATAATTGGTCATTCAAAAAAACCAAGATATTTAAAGGTAAAACTAGAGAACAGCTTGGTTTTTATTACTGCTATAACAAAAAAGCCTGGATGACTGGACTTCTTTTTAGGGAATGGATTTTAAACTTTAATTCTATGATGCAAAATACAAATTGACAAATTCTTCTTATTGACGGTGCTATATCACATGCAGTTGGTGATGTAAATCTTACTAATATAAAAGTTGTTATTTTATCTCCAAGAACTACTTCAAAGATTCAACCAATAGACACAGGCATTATTGCTGCTTTTAAACATCGATATTGTCATTTTCTATTGCAACATGCTATTGACCATAATGAGGCTGGAGAATTTGATATCTATAAAGTTGACCAACTTAAGGCAATACAGTGGTGTGCTCGAGCTTGGTATTTAATCCTTCCAAAAACTATCAAAAACTGTTTTTACCCTACTGGTTTATTTGAACATGAAATAACTGCTGCTGCCCGTAAGGTTCATCTGAATGATGAAGATTTATCTGTTCTTGCAGAGTTGGAAGAATCACTTGAAATATTGTCCCCTCACCACCCTATGAGCCTTGCTCATTATATAAATCTACCAGAAGAAATAGATTTAGTACATCAAGAATTTACAGATACCGACTTACTAGCATCAATGACCCCAGAAAATGATAATGATACTGATAGTATAAATGAAAGTAATTCTTCTCTTATTACTCCTTCAAACCCTATCAAACTTGAAGCTATTCAAACTGTGATTAGTCTTCTTGATACAACAATCTCTAATCACAATACTGCACTTAGAACATTGCGTTCATTGCAGCAAGAAATTTGACTTCAAATTTCTTCCTCAAAGATCCAAATGACATTAGATTGCTTTATACAAATAGAATAACAGATAAGAGTTTTACTTAATTGCTTTTATAGATTTGGTTCTTATTGCTGATTTTTTGATTTTATATTAGTAAGTATAGAATATAGTATAGGTTAAAAATATAATAAATAGGTTCTTGTTATTTTTTTTTCCATACAATGCACACAAATGAGATCTTATACGTATTAGAATTGTTTCTATTTTTTTTTTAATCATTTATATAATATGTACAAATAGGATCTTTATTTTATATATAGAATTATTATCTTATATCACCTTTGACCTTTATTAATTCATTCACATGATATTATTTGTTACTCAGTGATAATATATTACAAAATGGTTTATAATGCTTTTGTTTAGAAAAACTTTTGTATTTACTTGGCTTCAATTTACCAAAGCAGTTATGTAGCATTATAGGTTGTAAGTAGTAAATGAATTTAAAAGGAATATTATTAAATTTTGTGTCTTCTTTATTATGACATATTTATAAAATACCCTTATAATATATGACACTAATCTAGTTAATATTACTGGGTAAGGATACATATAAAGTCTATATCTATTAGAGTGCGATAAAATAGGTTAGGTAGTAAAAAGATAGGTTAAACGTATAATCATATAGATCAGAAATTCAAAAACTTTTGAAAGGTTATGTAAATCTGGAAATCAAAGATTCGAATTTGGTAACTGGATCTTATTATGGTTTACAAAGTGAGACCTCTGCAGATCATTAAGTTATATAAAATCACACAAACTTAGGCAATTTTCTGATTCTAATAGAATCTTAAAGATTTTTGAATATGTTATAAATATGTCATTACTATAAATTTAGAATCCACTTAAGTTAGAACAGAATTCTAAGTGTAGTCCAAGTTGATATGAAATTTAAATGCAATTTAAGTCGATTTTAAATTTGATATTATATAATCGATAAACTTAATAGCAACTTATAGCGCTTTGCAAAAAGATATGACCCTATGATATTTGTGATGATGAACAAGGAAAATTTCATAAATTCTTAATTGTATATTAATTCATATATTCGATTAGTCATATTTATATTTATTTAAAATTGGTAAGATTCTTAAAATCTACAGAATCTTCGATTTTCACACAACATTGTGACCTGCAGAAGTCACATCTTTTTTGCAAAGTGCAATAAGTTGATTTTAAATTTGATACTATGATAAATTGTCTAGATAATTACATTATTTCTTTTTTTTTATTTCACTTATTTATTCCTGTAACTCTCTTTACCTGATGATCGAATGTCAAGATTATCTGTTTTTACTCTGTGATGCATTCAAAGAATTGTTTTCCAAATATTTTAGTGATAAGTTAGCAAATAGGCAAAATAAAACTATTATAACATGTGAAGACTTTTATTTTTTATTTTTGTATTAAAGTTTGCAAAATTCATAATTGGGAATATGAGGATCATTTTTTGTATTTGGCAAAAAAAAAATACATTCACAATATATGAGATTAAAACATAATTTATTAAATTTGACTCAAACCTACTTGTGTTCATTTGGTCTTGACAAGTTTTCAGAGTTGAATAGTATTCTTCAATGCTATAAGCATTCGAAAAGAGTCTATTATACAATCCTTATCACAAGTAGATATTATTAAATGTATAAAAATGCATGAGACAAAATTACTTTAAATGTAAAAAAATGCATGACAAAAATCATTGTAAATAAATTCCTATGAGAATAGTTGGCATCCCATTAATCATAAATGTAAAAACTTTGTGCAATGCTTTTAAATTTAATTAATTTTCACTATGCACTATACTATGAATAAATCCTATCTTAAAGCAACTTAAATTCCAAAACAATACACTTGATGAAATAATTTGGAATACTCATAATTTTGTTGTAAGTTGTATTTATTCAGAATCAACCTAGATGGATTCTAAATCTGCAATAATTCCATTCTGATATACAACAAATATAACTGGTCGAATATATATTATTAGACAATCTAGAATCTCCTTTTTGCAAACTGCAATAATTTTGTTAAATTTTAGACAATCATATTTTTTAATATATATTATATTATGCAATTAGTCTTATTTATCTAAAAATTTTTTTTATGCATTATGCAAATAAAGGATTTATGCATTTATAATTAATAACTGAATTGAGAAATGAAAATAGTATGCAGTTAAGCAGTATATGCATTTAGACAGTATGTATTTAGACAGTATTGACTGTACTAATGAATCACCTAATTAATTTTAAGTGAATTAGCTAATTATGTAGAAAAAGAACATTTAATTAAATGGTAGAATTTAGTTAATAATTGTGTTTCAAATTTAATTAAGTGAAAGAAAATGGCCAATATTTGATTTATTCACTCAAAAAATTATAACAAATTAAATGTCATCAGACAAACAGCACTATTAAGCTATTTTTAATTGCCTTGATATTATAGACACAAAATAACATCATCGTAATTAATAAAATTTTTAATTAGTTGCTAATATGCAAATATGCTAATTTTATATTAATAATATTTTAAATGCTAATATGCTATGAAATATACAACATAATCGCAATAATATGTAAAATACATTATTTAAAAATGCAAATGAATTGTGCAATTTTGAAAATTGCCGTGAAGAAATTTATTAAGTATTTCATTTTGTTCTTGTGAATTTGTATTATTTATTTGATTAGGCTCAGTTACTGAAATATTACCCAAAGATGATTCAGTAAGAATTTTTTGATGGCTGTTTTTAGGCAAAGTATCAGTTTGAGTAGCGAATTCTTGCTGGTTTGTAACTATATAAATAGAATTTTAATTAAAAGTAATTAATTATTAAAATCAATTATTTTTTAA